TTCCTTTTCCACCTCTCACTTTCCCCCCTCTTCCTCTTCCCCCAAACCTGTTGCTTCACCTCCTCCTGCCCTTGACACACAGCTGGCCCAGGTCCACTCTGTTTCTGTGCCACCCGCCCCGCAGCGGTGAATACACCCCTGGGGTATGCCCTCTCCCGGTGAGGCACGGCTTCATCCCCATCTAGGTGTGTCTAGGTGTGTAAGTGCCCCCTCTATCCTCGGATCCTTCCTCTGGGTGCCCCCCACGGAGCCAGGTGAGGAACAGGGCCGCTCAGCAGGTTCTCTGCAAACACTTCTTCAGGGACATTTCCACCCCCGCCTGCTCCCCTGCCCCCACTAACTGTCCACTCACCCAGTCCACAGGCAATGGGCGGGACCCTGAGGGACACAGTGGTGGGCTTGTCAATGGTGAGTTCCTGACCTCATGGAGCACACAGTAAAGGGAGGAGGTGAGCCACAATAGACTCACCACAAACAGGGTGGCATGGCATTGCACGGGGGCAAGGGCCAGGGTAAGCCCTCCTGCTTCCCGGGCCTCAGAAGACGCCACTTAGTTTAGTCTGATGTAACAGATGACAGGGTCCTTCTAGCTCTGATGTCCCCGTTTCCTGTAGACTGGTTCTGGCCTGGCACAGAGAGATGCTGTGTGGCTCTCGGAAATTGTTTACCCTCTCTGAACTTCAGTTTCTCCATCTACGCAGAATGTGGGCTTGGAGATGTTGGATGTTGGATGGGGATCCCAGCAGGGGATGTGCTACATAGAGCAGGCTGCTCAGCCACTCCTGACACACCCATGGCCACACCAGCGGTGGCCTGGATCTCCCCATGTGGGCCTGGGCCTGAGTCCTGGCTCTACCACAAACCCTGACTGGGTCCCAACACTCATGGCTGAGCAAGGGGCTGGTGGCCCTTCCTGCTTTGAAGGTCTTCGGATTTGGGGAGCCATGAATCTACATTGTAGCCCCAGAAGAGCCCGGGGAGCAGCAAGGCCCTGGTGGGGAGGGGCCCAGGGCTTGGGTCAAGGTGAGGCTGTGGACTCAGGTCAGACCAGGGCAACAGCGAAAGGAGTAAGACTAACCAGGGGCCCAGAATTGGCTCCATGCAGGCGGGGAGGCCACCTGGGGTTTCCTGAGCCCTGGGCACTCATGCCAGGCTCTGTGCTCAACACTTCAGCAGAGGATCTCAGAAAGGGTAGGAACTTCTTGTGGCTGATTATATTTTCCAAAGATAGGCTCAGCAATATATAGCTCATCCCACTTATTCTTTTTTACAGTGTGGCATTGACACTCTTCCAGCTGAGTGATGTGGTCTGTGTTCCCTCTCCTTGAACCTGAGCAGACTTTTGTGACTGCCTCAACCAATAGAGAATGGCAGAAGCGACAGTGTGAAGCTAGGTCATAAAAGGCAATATGGCTCTTACAGCTCAGTTTCTCTCTGCCCTCTGTTTCTCTATGTCTCTCAGTCTCTGTCTCTCTGTCTCCCTCTCAATCCACTGTCCCTTGGGACGCAGCCACCATGTTGGGAGTAAACCCAGGCCTCACGCAGAGGCCACGTGAAGGTGCTCCAGCCAACAACTCCAGCTCCGGTCCCCACTAAGCCCCGGACATGTGAGAGAAGGAACTTTCCTGTGATTCAGCCCCCAGCCTTGGAGCTGCCCCAGCTGATGCCAAGTGGAGCAGAAATGAGCTGTCCCAAACTGCAAAATATTGTTGTTCTAAGCCACTAATTTAGGGGGTAGTTTGTTACGCAGCAATGGATAACTGGAATGCTTGTTCAAGGTCATACAGCTTGGAAGTGGCAGGGCTGGGGTTGATTGGAATCCAGGGCCATCCAGCTTCAGAGCCTGTTGTGCTGCACTGTTGGGTGGTGTCCAGCTCAGGCACACAGTGTGTGCCATATGAAGCTCTACTCCAGAATTATATATCAGATTGTACAAAATGAAGATGCTGATCACCCAGAGGAAAAACAGTTTATGTTCTCCCATTCAAGTGGCTAAACATGATGGAGACTGAATGGAGAGTAAATCCTGGAAGGCTCCAAAGAGGAGGTGATTTAAAAAGAAATAAAGGTTATATTCCTTATACAAACCACTGGCTGAAGGAGAATTAGAAGAATTAGTAGGGAAACCTGCTTTTGTTGTTGTTGTTGTTTTTGGCCGTACCACGTGGCATGCGGGAAGGATCTTAGTTCCCTGACCAGGGTTCGAACCCACGCCCTCTGCAGTGGAAGCATGGATTCTTAACCACTGGGCTACCAGGGAAGTCCCAGAACCTGCTTTAAATAGGGTAGTCAGGGAGGCCTCTCTTAGGAGGTGACATTTAAACTGAGTTATTCAAAGAGCCAGAGTAAGAGAATTCCAGGCAGAGAGAACAGCAAGGGCGAAGGCTGAAGGAAGAACAAGCTTGATAGATGTTCAAGGAAGTAAGAAGGTCAGAATGACTGGCACTTGATGGGTGATAGAGGAAGGACAAGACAGAGCAGGAAGGGACAGCAGGAGCCTCAGCAGCCCTGGGCAGGGCTTTATTGTTTGTTTGTTTGTTTTAAAAATATCTTATATATATATATATATATATATATATATATTTAATTTATTTGTTTATTTTTGGCTGCATTGAGGCTTCATTGCTGTGCAGCTTTCTCTAGTTCCAGTAAGCGGGGGCTACTCTTCATTGCAGCGTGCAGGCTTCTCATCGCGGTGGCTTCTCCTCTTGCGGAGCACGGGCTCTAGGTGTGCGGGCTTCAGTAGTTGTGGCACACGGGCTCAGTAGTTGTGGCACACAGGCTTAGCTGCTCTGTGGCATGTGGGATCTTCCTGGACCAGGGCTCGAACCCATGTCCCCTGCATTGGCAGGCAGATTCTTAACGACTGCGCCACCAGGGAAGCCCGAGGCTTTATTGTTGATGCAGTGACAAGCCACCGGGGACTTTGGAGTAAGCAGGGGTGAGATGTAATCTAATTTGTGTTTTAAATAGATCACTCTAGCTGATGGCAAGAAGATGCTAGAAGATGGGTAAAGGGCCTATTGAACCAGCCTCTGAGAGGTAACGGTGGCTTGGATGAGGGTGGAGGCAGTGGAGAGGGAAGAAGAGGGGTAGTTTTGAGATCTGTTCTGGAGCTTTGCGGAGTTAGACACCCTTGG